AACTTTTTATAGGTTAGTTTGAAGAGCATAAAAATAGCTACATTTTGATGCCAAAAAGGGTTCGTTATCTTATTTTGTTATCAAGTTATTCACAAATTAGTGAGCAAAAAATAAATAATAATTGAGGAACACGACGCTAACGAAAAGACATTTAATTACCGAAACAAAATACGTTTATAAAAGAACCTACAATTGAAACAAATTAAAATCGAATTAGTATAACACATTTTTCCTGTATAAAACATTTTCATACCGGGCGCTCCAGATCGAAGTTACCAAGTCACTATTTACAATGCCCTTACTGTCCTTGTTTGAAATATATTTGTGGTATATTATTTATTTTTTATTATTTTGGGACTACACCACTGACTTCTACAAATGATTAGATAAAACTAAAAAGCCACCGACAAATTTCAAGAAGTCAATTTATTTATTAAATGTGAAAAATGCAGGGATGCAGTGTTTTTTCTTTTGAACAAACAATAACAATTCTTCTGATGCTACCCACATTTTTTACAATTTCATCGATTCCTCTTGTTGTTTACTGTTAATTAAAAATGGATTACCTCAATTTTTGTTTTTGGGGACAAATTTTGGAATTATACGACTATCGTTAATCATTTGTTGTTTTAGAGATGTTGCATTTGGCGATTTTAACAGGCTTTGTAAATAAAATCAATAATAATTTCAATTCAAGTTATACCCTGTATGTTGTAAATTTTCCTCATAAATAGATGTAATTTTAAAATTTTATGTAATAAACTGATTTAAATTTTTTTTACAAGTGTTCCACTTTTAAATATATCACCTGTCAAGTTTGGTCTGGCAAAGTATGTGCAATATATTAAAATTGGTCTGTATGTCTGGTCGCAGTTCAAAATGGCTATAGGAATAAAATTTAAAAGCCGCGCCAAATTCAAAAACCGCACAAAATGTTTTAACTGCAGATAGAAATAATGAAATAAGTACCAAATATTTATTTACAATTCCGAATCCACATTCAGCGTGGTTGCCAAATCTCTGGTCTGACAGAGTTGGTTTCATATCACTCCATGAACTGTATAAATCTGATGCCGCATGAGCGCTACCTAGCCATTGAACGTCTGAACTAAATCCATATAAAAATACTAATTCGACCGACTTTTCACGCCACTGCCAAATTTTTTTTGGGGTGTCCTACCACCCCTGTGAACATTAATGCATGGTTTAACGTTACCAGACCATTTGCCTGGTCTAGTAACGTCGATTTTGGTCTGGTTGCGTATGTGGCATATATCAATACTGGTCTGTATCAGCGGCGTAACAAATCTATATATATATATATNATATACAGGGTGTCTCACATTTAAATAGCAGGACTTCAGGAATCAGTAGAAGACCTCATTTTGAGTCTAAAAGTTCCTATATATATGGGTCCTAAAACGCTTAGTTTCTGAGATACAGGGCGTTCAATTTTATTTTTGTTTTATTTATTTATTTTTTAACTAAATAACCGCTGACAAAAAAAATCATCATGTTGCGGCGAAAGACTTAGTATTTGAGGGCAAATAATTTGACACAGAAAATCATCGCATATTAGTTCCAGTGGTGGAGATATGCATATTTTTATTAAAAAAAAAGTATAGCCGATTAGATATTTTGCAAATATTTTCGAAAAATATGAAAAAGCATTCAATTTTACCCAGAAAAGGCCCTCTTATACAAAGTCGATAGGAGGTGGTGTTTTCAAGAGAAACCGAAAATACTGTTTAGAAGTCAAATTAAGAAAAACCGAAAATACTGTTTAGAAAACAAATCAGACTTGAAATGTCATTATAATATTGACATTTGCGCTTATTTTATTATAATTTCTAATTGTGTGTAGAGTATTAAAAAAAANCTTTTAAAAATGAAGGAAATCAATTCATTATTTCATGCCTTGCATGAATATTAGGACGCAAAGAACAATATTCGGTAACTTTTCTGGCTTTTCGTTGAATAATAACAACAATTAAAACCAGCATTTTCATTGAAATTTCACAACACTCTAAGCTGCCCGTAACTGTTAAATAAATTAATTAATAAATGGAACTTACCTATCTTGTAAAATAAAGTTCAAGCTTTAAAATGAGATGTCGTGCGTCTCAATCCGTCCAGTAGAACCAGATATGGTAAAATTGGTGCGCGCAGCGAGGGAAAATGTAAGAGATTTGCACTAAAATTGCAATAACTGGTTGAAGTTACTTTTTTTTAATTTAAAAAAATATATGTTTTTTATGAGAAAACGTAACTATTAACGAATAAAAAATTGTACTAGCTATAAAAATTAACTTTTTACAGCCATTTAAACATTTAATTTATTGATAACAATTAAACTGACCACTTTTAGGCTTTGCGACCAAGTTTTTTGGATTAAGGAGATCAAAATACTTAAGAATAAGTTGTTTGCAACCGTGGCACTCTGATTGGCCACGGAACCCTATCTCCTGGGTTATACTCGTATATAGTGCACGTGCAAATCAAAAGTGGGTTAGTAGGTTAGTGACCTATACTCCGCGGTCGAAATTATAGAGAGTGACTCATCGCTAACTTTTGGACTAGTAAGGGGGATGAAGCGTGCCGGGAACGAAAATCCATTGGCGTGTCTGCGTAAAAGGCAACAAAATGTAAACAATATTGAAAAAGATAATAAAACATAACATCTAATATTTTTTACGCTTTGCTATAACCGGCTCTTTGATCCATTTTAATTATTACAACATTTTAAAACGTCCCAGTTGTGTTTTTTTAATTTATAAATTTATTATAGCCACGGAATTAGACCCCTCGTCTACGCTTATGCTATGACGTTCCTCAGGACGGGTAAATCAAGTCCGTTTACACCCACTAAAAAAGCATTTCCATATTCCCTACCAAGTGCAGAAGACAGATAGAATATAGATCGACGTTCAGTGTAACTCAGTCTATAGACGATTATAGATTCTATCGATGTGCGTAGTGAACGGCACAAAGATAAATAATATTGAACCGTTATAAAAATTATTTTATATTTTATACGCGTTATGGTAATAGTGTTTTTATACATATTATGTCTGAGTCACTTTCTATAATTTCGACCGCGGAGTATAGACAGGTTAGATTAGGTCGGAAACGTACCGAGTTGTTTATTTGTCTCCGTGCCATTGTTTTTTATGGAATACAAGTCTCTCTTCTATTACTTACAGTCAATATTTAAATACTACATACATTTCACTCTATAATTTATCTAGTGAGTGTTGTATTTTATGTCATTACTTCTGTAATGAAATTGATATGGTTATGAAATGAAATTTAAATTATTTGAACTCTTGGTGTTTTGTAACTTCAATATTTTTTATTTAAAGTGATACAGAGCTAATTTCTTTGCAGCCATAATAGTCATTTGGTCAGATGAAAACCCGCACACTACTCGTCGGTTTAGCTTTCAGAGGAGATTGGGTGTCAATGTATGGACAGGAATATATGGCGATCGTTTAATTGGGCCGCATTTTCTACCTGAACATCTGCATGAGCCGCGTTACTTTCAATTTTTAGTAGAATTGTTTGAAAATCTTCCCTTCAGATGCTACGGGATATGTGGTATATGCACGACGGAGCTCCGGCCCATTTTGCTCGCGATGTCGGTGGATAGGGAGAGGAGGGCCCATAAGATGGCCAGCGCGCTCGCCGGACCTAAATCCTATGGACTTTTGTATATGGGGTTATATGAAATCTGTCGTGTATCACACCAAGGTAGAGAATGTAGAGCAGTTGCGGAATCGTATTGAAGATGCCGCAGAAGAAATACGTAACAACCGTACCGCCTCTTATCTATCCAACGTGTACACTTGTGCATAGACGATAACGGTAATGTATTTGAACATTTTAATCGGTCGATAGCCGCACGGTTTAAGGCGTCGGTACTTAAATTGATATGTACTAATTCTGCCCGGGTTCGGTTCCCGCGGCCGGTAGATTAGCTATGCTTGTACGGAGGATTGGCACCCTCTGTGCAGGTATGATAGGGTGGAAGAATGTTGGCTTGGGCCAATGTGAGAGATTGACACCGGTTGGCATTTGACCACCAACCCCCCCCTCCCCCTAATTAATGAGGGTTTCCAGGTTTCCCTCATTTCTGCACTGAAAGGTGGTTAGGGCCTACCAACATAAGTCGTTCCTGGGCGCAAATGCGGCCTGCTGAATAATAATAATAATATGCCGCCTCCTCTCCCGCACAAGTCTCCGACTTCTGGGCTATTTCTCGTGGTTAGAATGAGGGATAGAGATTTTATTATTATTATTATTATTATTATTATTAAATGACGCTGAAAAAAAAATGTTTTTGGACGCTAGAAAGATTCATCAGAGAAACTATTAGATAACAAAGTGTTTCCTAAATTGGAAAATGGTCACATCTTATAGAAAAGAGACCAAAAACTAATTGCTGGAGGAAACGTGACTGNGCTTACAGCAAATTAAAAAATTAACAATATGATGTTAATAAAAATGATTTTTGGCAAGACATGCTCAGCCATCCTCGAGGTTCATGCTGGGAAACAATAACAATTTAATATGTTGATTGCCTAGTTATAAAACATAATTTATAGCATTTTAAATTATTATTGGCTGACGTGTGCAAACCGTTTATTTATTGTCTTTATATGAGTGAAAATATATAAATATGGCAACGTTGCATCTAGGGCGCCCTGTTCATATCGTAGCTGTACGCAAACTGTGAATAACCGGCTGACGTCAGCCGGTCGGTAACAGCCTGAAAAGGGGGTTAAATAATGATTTGAAAATATATTTTTTTCAGCTTAAATATGCATTTAATTTTTTTAAAATCACGCCATCGTATTATACTCATTTTTCTCTGTTTTCTCTTAAAATTAAAATATTATGACTGAATCACCCAGTATTATTTTTCTCAAGAAACGACAACTGGGCTCATATTATAGTAGGAGATATGTAAGGATAGGATTAAACTATAAATTTCAACAAAATGAGTTAGATTTTTTATTTTAAAATCCCTAATACATGTGACAATTGTTGCTCTACAAAATAAAAATTGTTTGAACTTCTGTCTACGGCTATACAAAAATTAGAATATGATTATGGCTATGAATACTTAATTTAATATTTTAATAATAATAATTTAATTTACAGTATAAATAATTCAGTTTTTTTTTTTTTGGCAATTTTGATTTATGATTGACAACGATAGATAGAAATAACAAAATATAATTTAACATATAAACCTAAAATACGTTAAAATAAAGTATTACATGTAGTTCTTTTAACGATACTTTTTGAGTAGGTACCTACTGAATGTTTGTTGTGGTATAGAATTTAAAAAATTAAAAGTTTATTAGGTATTATAAATCATTGTGCTTCACTATTGAAAAAATACTTTAATAACAGACACAGTACACCAAATAATTTTGAAAATTTTAATATAACTGAATAGTTTGCAGAATTTATAAGTGCAGTTACGAACTTATTTTAATTTAAACAAATGATAATAAAACTATTTACATTTAATACACTGATAACATAGCTTATAAAATTAATGATTTACTTTTCGATTTATCCTTAATCTGAGAAAAAATTTCAAAACATAAGTAAAACATAGAACGAGAACTTCTTTATTGAAAATTATGGTACTGTGGAGTGCGTTTATTGTCAAGGAATAGTTATAAAATTATGAAATATTTACCAAATTTTCGAATTCACAAAACTGGCATTGCCACAAATTAATTTCAGCAGACAAAAATAAACAGTTTATTAATTATGTCTACATTTGGTTTCTGTTTGCCAAATAATTTGTTGGGCTAACTAAAATTATTGAACATAAAAGACAACAAAGGGATAATCAAATATTTCACTAGCATTTAACACAGCCATGCAAAAATTTATTTAATTCTGATATTAACTGATACATTTCAACAAAATAAATATAAGCTACCTAAACAGGACAGCCAGCAGCGTGAGTTGGATAGTCAAAGATTTAATGATTTGGGGGGGAGTAAGGTTCAATCTTGACGATTACTTTTGTTACATAAATAATATATTATTAAAATATAAGATTTAAAAAAAATATTATACATGTGCAATACTTTGACACTGCTCATTGTATATCAGTCTATGAGTTAAAAAAAATAAATGTATCTATTTACACGTTCAACGATTGATGACAACTGCTTCATTTGATATTATGCTAACTTGCTTATTAATTTAATATTTTTTTATTCTTGTAATAAGAATGTGCTATAATTTTTTTCTATAAATTATGTGAGTGATTTTGAACATACAGCCAAAATTATATAAATGGAGAAAAGCAACACGAAAACATAATGTATTACCTAATTTTGACACTTGACATGGATAGTGTTATTACTAACATTGATAATTATTTGATATAAAATTGGCTGACGATTCTCCTACTGGTCCACTTCAATCGTTGATTACATATAATCTAAACAACTAATCAGTGGAGTTTATTTGATTATCTGTCGGAGATGTATCTATATTGTTTGCCATAGACATCTCCATTTGCATGGCATGTCTTGCAAGTTGGGTGGATCCCCTTCTGTACGAATTCGACTCGAGGGTTGGTTTCCTACGTGATAAATGTCGCTCAACCCACTTCAACATGGTAAGAACTGAGTCAGTAGAGGGAAGACGACGTTCGGCTGATGTCTTTGTGATTTGAGAGGTTGTTACTCTAAAAGTGGCAGCCATACCTTTCAGGGACTAAAAAATATAATACGGTTTAATTTTAGAATTTTAAAACTATGACACGACCCGTAGTATGAGTGAGTGAGTTTGTGAAAATTCATTACAAGTTCGGAGAGTGTGTAACTGAGATTTTGAGCAAATTACATGGAATTTTCGAAGGAATAGCCGTACTGTGAAAAGATTAGTTGCAGAAAATATTGTATTGTAAAGTTATTCTGGTCAAATAAATACCATTTCTGCATTAAAATTAGATATTCGGAGAGTTATCAACGAAATTCAGCCTCAGATATGCGAAAGCGTGATACAGAACTTTCTTAAAAGACGTCAAGATGACAAATAAGTCGCGATATCCTCTTTCATATTTAATGCCAATGTCTACCAAAAATCCGTAAAAATGGTATGGAAAAACAATTTAATTTGAATACACGGACGAAATGCTTAAATATCGTCGTTAGGGCTAAATTCTTTTGGTAGTTATTATTACCTAATCATTTCTTACCACCCCTGAAACTGATCTCTGAATTAGACTACTATTCTAATATTCATTGCAAGTAATACTGCGCATAACGAAGATATATGGCAAGAAGCAGCAATTAACATCGGACTGTTTATCTAATTTCGCTTTCATTTCAGCAATCATATTACTTTTCTTATAAACAAATGCCTCGCCTCTGAAGTTTTTCCTTCTGCGTGGAAAGATGCTAACATTATACCTGTCACGAAAATTAATAACCCCACAAATATCTTAAACTTTCATTCCATTAGTATCCTTCCTACCTTATCAAAAATCTTGGGAAAATTAGTTTCTGAACAAGTGTGCAACTATTATAATAAAGCCAATATACTGTCTGATACTCAGTCTGACTTTCGAGCTCAATGTAGTACTTGTACTGCTCTTGTTAAAGTTACAGATAATCTTATAAGTGATATATCGATATCAAAATAAATGTGCCTGTTTTATTCTGCTTGATTTTTGTAAAGCATTCGACACTTTAGATCATACAACACTCTGTATTAAGTTAAAATATTTCGGTTTTAGAGACACTGCTATCGCTTTCTTTAAAAGTTATCTGTTGGACAGAGGCCATAGGGTTACTGACGCAGACGTATCCAGATTTAATTTTATCTCTGCTGGAGTTCCCCAAGGTAGTGTTCTAGGTCCTCTTTTCTTTTCTATTTATACTGCTGATTTGTGTAGTTATCTCCGTTATTGTCAGTCCCAACAGTATGCAGATGACACTCAATTATATTTTTCTTTTTGTCTATATGACATCTCTTCAGTTGTGGCCCTGATCAACGTTGATCTAAACTCTATCTCTGAGGTAACTTTGTCTCATAATCTTATTTTAAATGAATCTAAAACTCAAATGTTAATTTTTAGAAATAAAAGGAACGTCATTGTAGATAACCCAGATTTTACTATTATTTTGAATGGACATACTATTGTTCCAACTGATAACTGCAAAAATTTTGGGTTGCCAAGCATGTCAACTATCCGGTAGGTTTGTTGTTTTTTCATAATAATCAACTTAATATTAATAAACTATTTAATAAATAATGTTAAAAAGAAAGCGAATTATTCAAAACCAAAACCATTTCTACTTGAATTTATATTATATTATAATATCGTGTTGTTTCTGATAGACATTTTTATAAATTAAATAGGAAAGTTATTTTTAGTCCATTAATCACGTGAGGTTTTTAGGCCACTTTTTTACACCCGCCCTGGTCATATGTGGTGATGTTGTAAGCTAAGTAACTTCAATATTTTCAGAATATTTTTTTATGAAAATCAATAAAAAAAAACAGCAAAAAAACAGCGGCGGTTGTCAGTCAGCGCGGGCGAGGCGATGGACGTTCTTACAAAGATCGACCACGTTAATTGCGCGTTACTTATCGTGATGTCATATCGCAGCTCACAGCAAGGCATTCTCGGGCATGTTTGCGCGAAAATATACATATGATATGTAACAACAAATAAACTAATAGAATTTTTAAGTGAAGATTGCAACTAATATTTATGCAGATGTCAAGTAACAATTTTGTATTCAATTAATAAAATATAAATTAATGTACTGTAAATAACTAATAAAACATTATATGTAAGACAATATTTTTTTACACCCTGTATTACGACCCTATATTTAAAATATTACGAGTTTTATGTTAGAAAGAAGACACATATTTGCCCCGGCCGGCATAGCATCTGGAATTTATAAAAAAGCTCAAGTGGCTAGTTAACGCCCAATGGCTTTGTTTAGATTATAAATTTCAGACAGACCCTTTACCTAAACTTTTACGTATGACTGTGCTGTGAAAACATTGCGAATTGTGCCTCAATTGAATATTGGAAATTAGGTGAGTTTTCTCACTGAGCACACCTATTTATTAGAAATAATGACTTATTCATATACCTAGAATGTGAGTTTTCTCACTGGGCATACCTATCTATTAGAAATTATGTCCTATTCGTATAACTTGTGAGCTTTCCCTCTGAACACACCTATTTATTAGAAGTAATGGCTTATTCATATACATATAATGTGAGTTTTCTCACTGGGCATACCTATCTATTAGAAATTATATCCTATTCATATAAATCGTGAGTTCTCACTTAGAACACCTATTTATTAGAAATAGTGGCTTATTCATATAACTTGTAAGTTTCTTTCACTGAACATACCTATTTATTTGGATTAGTGGTTTATTCACAGTTTACTTACTGAACATTCCTATTTAATATTGATAGTTTCATCGCAAGCAAATCTGAATCTTGAATATTGCCATATAATCTTGAAAATAATAATTGTTAGAGATGTAATATAAATTTACGTTGTCAATCTTATTGAGAAGTTAGATATTTGATTTGACGAGCATCATTAATTAGATTGCATATTCTTTTGAAGAAATAATTAAGTGTCTCTTGCACAGACTAGTAGTCATATTTCGGGATATACCCAATAAAGTAAAATGTCATTTGAGTAACAATAATAGTTGTTATATGAAGGATTATTTTGCTGTTATGAATTGAGGTGCTAAATCTGCACAATTGATTGGCCAGTTACTAGAAAGTTTAATGAAATTTGATGTGAATAAGTTGTCTATGCATTTGAGGCACTTTACTGTTTTGCTCGGGGGTAAGTTGTTTGAATTTTGAGCACTCGAGAAGCCTAGAAATAACTATGAACATGGGAATAAAACTCTAATTTTGTTTTATTTTAATGCGTGCTGATAATAGTTTAAATAACTAGATGGATTTCACAGGGTCCAGCGACACTTACAGTGTACGATAATTCAATAAACAAAGAAATCTAAATAAAAAAAAATTAGATAAATTTGAAACGAATACACTGAAGATGAATTTTTCGAGACAAAACGTCTGAATCTGGTTGGGACTGAGGCAGTACAGTATTGGGGGTCATGATGGCTTGCAAAAAATGTAATAATATTTCTAGGGTCGTATTTAAAAAAATTAAGCTGATGATGGTCCTGGAGAGACGAAACGTTACAGACAAAAATTGATTATGCCATTCGATAGAGGGCAAAAAGTGGCCATGAGAAAGTGTTGTTCTTTTTTCAATATCACCTCAAACAAGGCTGAAATGAAACAAAAACGAATTTCCAAAACTTTTCAAATATTTTGAAAATTAATCATGTTAGCCTTGATTTTTTAGAGACATAATGTTGGTCCCCTGATTACGCAACTTTGCCCTCATTTAAGCCACTTCGTACCTCTTACCATTTCCGAGATCACTGTAGTGAGAAGCGAATTTGTAACAGCCTGTATACTTGCCGAGAAACGCGGCGCGCGCACTTTATTAACAATAAAAAAAACAAGTCTTCAGAATAAAATATGCCGGCGTAACTGTTCGGATTTTTGTTAAGGGATGTTCAATGATTATTTAAGACTTTTGGTACACTAAAAATTGCAATTTTTAATATAGTTTATTGACGTTGAAAATCGTTAAAATTGCGTTTTTTCGAACAAAAAATCGTTAATATCTTGAAAACGGTAGATTTTAGAGAAAAGTTGCATAGGAACTCTTTTGTTCAGGATACCCCAAAAAGCCTAAAAAATTTATTACGAGCGAAAATATCGAAAATTACTAATTTGTTTAAAATAATTGTTTAAACAATTTTTGACCATTAGTAACGTCTGGCAACATGCGGATATGTTTCAAGGGTCATTTTTGGGTAAGATTATGAAAAAAAATGGGATGAGAATCATGTTACTAGCGGAAGCGACGATACAACCTGGACTATATGAATTACTGTTAGTTTAGGAGTAGGTATTGAAACATACCATCATAGCATCTTCGTCAGTAGCGTCATCTCCTACATATATAATCCTAATCCTTTCGCACCAATCCACCCCAAAAGCTGTCCGTAGGATATATATAGAAGCCCTACCCTTATTCCACTGCACCGGTGGTTTGGCTTCAATTGCACAATGCGCTTTTACTGCTGCGAATCCGGCATTCTCAATCATGGAGATTGCTTCTTTTTCCAATACAGGCCGAAGGTGGACAGGAGCTTCCCTAAAGTGAAATGTCAACAGGGCTCCTTTATTCTCGACCCACGCACCGTCCCTGCATACTTTTTCTTGAAGTTGGCGCATTAGCTCGCCTACCTTGTCGTGAAATTCCGTTGGCATCGGGTGGACAAATTTGGTGCCGTCAGGATGGAGGATTTCTAAACCGTGATTGCCCGCGTAGGTGATGCCTTCAATTCCCACCTGAAATATTTTAAAGAACGGTAAAAATAGATTAGGCAACACGGAATTTTTTCTTCCTGTTTTACTAACGAAAACGTAGGAAATGGATGCAAGGTGATATTCGTAAATTGAAAACCAAGCATAGATTTTACTTACCATTTCTTTAACATTATTTACATTTCTTCCACTGACGATAGCTATGTAACAGTCTGAAAGATTGGAAAGCCTTTGAAGAACGTTCTTTGTTTCGGCGGGGATGATAGCGAGATTAGGATGAGGTGCAATAGGTGCCAAAGTGCCGTCATAATCTAGCAAAAGCGCCAGTTTTAGTGTATCTCCAATATACCTGAAAATTGGTCAGGGAATTATTTAATTACCTATAATACAGCAGCTATAAAGCAAAGAAATTATGACAACTTCAAAAATTAATTTATATTTAACTTTAATTCTCTTCGCATATACTCACTTTGCTAAGTACTCATCGAAGTCATCCAATGTGACAGCAGGCATAGTAATGGACCCTATATCATCGTGATCTTCCTGAGTTAAGAGCGACCCCATGGCCGACAAAAATGACTTTGTCCAATAATTCACGTCGTTCAGCTTTTCTCTTCTCCTCAAGTAGTTCATGCGTAGAATTCTTTCGTCCTCAGGCATGGTAAGTGCCCTGTGAATTATCTCGGACGCATCATCAATTTCATAAGGGTTGCTGATGAGTGCTTCGTGCATAGTCTCTCCCGCTCCAGCAAAAGGAGACACGATTAATACACCAGGTGGAGTGTTGATTTGACAAGCGACAAATTCTTTCGCAACTAAATTCATCCCGTCACGTAAGGGGGTGACTAGTCCCACTGCAGCATCACGATAGAAAGCTGCCAACTCGCCTTGACTGACACATCCATAAATGTACCTAATGGGAGACCAATTAGGTGTAGTAAATCGTCCGTTTATCCTACCAACCAATTGATCCATTTCTTCTTTGAGATCTTGGTAGTCCTTCACATCAGTACGGGAAGGAACTGATATTTGTAGAAGAGAAACTTTCTCTAAGTGCTCAGGGTGGTTTTCAAGCAATTTCTCAAAGGCCTTAAGCCTATGTACTAGTCCTTTTGTGTAGTCTAAACGATCTACACCTAAAATAATTTTTTGGTTGGTGGACAGCAGTCTAGGTGCCTTCTCTGCTAACTCCACAAATCGCTCAAATGGTATACCAATGGGTAACGGGCGTACTCGGACAGTTCTACCACCATGTTCAACAAGTAGGTTCTTTCGATCGACACGACAACCAAGATTCCTTTGACAGCAGTCTACGAAGTTCAAGCAGTAGTCAGTTATGTGGAAACCGATCATGTCACAGCCAAGCATGCCCTGCAGAATTTCATCAGACCAGGGAAACAGTCTGAAAATGTCCCATGGAGGAAACGGAATGTGCAGAAAGAAGCCCAGTTTGCATGGGATGTCAAGGTCTTCTGCTGCCTGAAGATAAAAGGGTAGAGGTAATAAATTTGCTAAAAATTTCAAAAAGACGAGAATGGGTCATATGAACACCGGGATCGTGATCAGCAACCCCAAACACATAAAGGTCGCCTAGTCTGGGAAAAAGGACTTTTCGATTTCTGTTTGTGGGCCTTGTTATGAATGAATTTGAGTGGATTTATCAGAAAAATGTATTTATTAACGCCCACTTATACTGAAACTCAAAAAATTAATAGACATGACACAAGCTAATGAAATTGTGGGAAATAACTACTCTGCTGACTATATGCTCCATTCAGCAAGTAATTACCCCACAAATAGAGCAGTTACGAACTTATCAGTTTTCATTAATAGGCCATAGCAATCATGCTTTCATCTTTCACAGTACCTACAGATTAGAAGGTTACTCTCTGCTAATAGGTGCTTTACGCCAGTGGGAATTGAGTAACAATGACAAAGATGAGAATCACACTTCGAGAGCTGCGAAGTTATCCGTGAAATATTTGACATGATTTACTAAATTTTTTTTTTTAAACATAAAACACACCACAGAAATGAGACAACCCCCAAATCCAAAGCCAAAAGCTTGTGCGGAAGGGGCCTGCAATTGAAAAAACGCGGACAAACACCCATTATCCATCGACATTGCCAATGTCGACACCGGGGATCGAACCCGGACCAGAGTGGGAAGCCTAGCCGAGAAATGCTTGCCACCGCACTCTCGACCGACTGCGCTACCGTGGCGATGTTAACTAATACGTAGATACGTTACTAGTTGAATATAAAAATGTTTCAAAATAATTATTTTTGCAGTTTTAAATGTACAGGGTGGTTGATTTTCGATAGTTTTATAGCGTACAGCCAAAACGGTGATAGATACAAAAAATCTGATATCGATGTCCCGTCCTCTTTTTTTGAGTTTACTTCGCTGGTCCCAAAAGATCTTGGCTAACTTGATTAGTTTTAGATATACAGGTTTTTTTTGAAAAATGGCCCATTTACATTAACCTCTCTATCTCCGTTGTCATTCAATTTAGAAGAAAAAAGTGTGCACATTATTTGTTCTATTTTTTATTAGGAAGCCTGTGGCTTACTCAGATTTTTTACAAATCGTACAGTTTTTCCGATATTACATAAACATAGTTTTTTTTAAATAGAACACCCTGTATTTGGCCATCCCGTTGAGTAGCATTTTTTTTACCTTTTCAGCCAAATATAATAATAGATACTTTTTATTTGCCTAAATGAAGAAAAATGCAAAAATGTATAGATATTTTTTCAGTTGCCCATTCGTTTTCTATTATTATTTTTATATTAGGCACCTAACTTAGACTAAAAAAATAAAAGAAAAAATAAATTAGATTATCCATTTATCTTTACTTAATAGGTTTAATTATAGGTACACTTATAATTATTATCTAAACATAAACTAAACAAAAATAACTATAAAATGAGAGAAACAATAAAACAAAAGTGACATAACAAAGTCACAGCAAGTGCTCGAATTGTCGGCCATTTTCGTTGATACATAACTGACAACGTTTGGCAATGGAGCGGGTCGCATTGTAAATGTGGATATTTGACACCCACTGAATATAGTTTTCAAAATGTTCTCTTAGCTCCTCGACATTATTAGCTCTATACTTATAAATTTTGTCTTTAAGATCCCCCCAAAAATAAAAGTCTATAGGGGTTAGGTCTGGTGACCTAGGCGGCCACCTATTTGGTCCGTACGTACCGATCCAATTGTCCCCGAAATTATGATTTAATAATTCTCTAACTACGTGGGAATTATGTGAACGCGCACCATCATGCTGAAAGAACATATTATATCGTTGCGCTAGTGGCATATCGTCCAGCAGTTCAATAATATTTTCTTGTAAAATTCTCACATATCTCTGAGCGTTAAGATTTTCATCGTACATTTCGTAAGCTAACACTCTATTGTGGAAGAGAGTTACCCATACATGAAAACCAAACCGCCCTTGTTGAATTCTGGCCACAGTTTGGTGAGGATTCATATCTGACCAATAACGCGCATTATGCCGGTTGAATATACCTTCGCTGCTTATAAAAGTCTCGTCGGTCTAAATAACATTTTGAAAAAAATTGGGGTATACATGAATTTGCTGCAAAAACCATTGGCAGAAAATGACACGTCTCTCTTCATCTCCTGGATGCAAATGGTGGACTTTTCTTATAGTGTATGGTCGAAACTGGTGTTTTTTTTAATTCTCAATGCTTTGAATTTACCAATTCCTATCATTCTTTGAATTTCTCTGCTGGATACATTGGGATTTGCGACAACAAAAGCTAAAGTATTAATTTCATAATTTTCTCTATTCTGTATATTATAAGATTTAGCTACCGGTTTTTGAAAAAAACCAAACTCACACAAGTTATCATAGAGTCGGCTAAAAATTCTCTCTTCTGGCTGATGACGTTCTGAGTATCTTTCCAAATATAAGTTTAAAGCTGTCACAATTTTTTTCACTTTGTGAAGATTTTCGTACACCGTTTTTATACTTTTCAAAATCAAAACTAAGTAATAGACGTTTACAAGCTTTCAATCAGTCAAAAATAAACTAACTGTCAATATTAAACAACAAAAGACGAATAAATAAATAACATGGCCAACTGAAAAAATATCTATATCTACATTTTTGCATATTTCTTCATTTAGCCAAATAAAAAGTATCTATTATTATATATGGCTGAAAAGGTAAAAAAAAAATGCTACTCAACGGGATGGCCAAATAGAGGGTGTTCTATTTTAAAAAACCTATGTTTATGTAATATCGGAGAAACTGTGTAACTTGTAAAAAATCTGAGCACGCCAATGGCTTCCTAATAAAAAATAGAACAAATAATGTGCAAACTTTTTTCTTCTAAATTGAATGACAACGGAGATAGAGAGGTTAATGTAAATGGGCCATTTTTCAAAAAAAACCCTGTATATCTAAAACTAATCAAGTTAGTCAAGACCTTTTCGTAACAGCGAAGTAAACTCAAAAAAAGAGGACGGGACATCGATATCAGATTTTTTGTATCTATCACCGTTGTGGCTGTACCCTATAAAACTATCGAAAATCAACCACCCTGTACATAATGAAAAAAAATAAATAAAAATACCAATTCGATTGATATGAAATATCATTTCAAGTTTTTACAAGAAATTATGTTAATATTTCTTTAAACAGTGTGTGGTATCTAATTTGCAATTAATGCTAATGATCTCTGGGTATGAGCTATTTTAGTAGAACTTACTACTGTCACTACGCAAAGCAGGTTTGGATGCATTTGGGAAATTTAAAACAAGTAAGTTATAAAATTCTAAAAAGAATACGGTGTTTCCACTTTGTTTCTCATTCAGCACATCTGCAGCCAATCGGTTTTAAATTAATCCAAAATAAACAAAACAACAACAAAATTAATCGTGAACAGTTTAAATTTAAGCAGAATCCGAACCTGTTCCGAGGTTAGCTGGGGGCTCTTCAGTTAAACTGACATATTGCACCCTCTGAAAAGTCGCTACTGCTAGTTGACTTCACACCTGGTATGATATGACGGGATGTTAAACGGTAAAAAATAAACTGCCACGTTAATTAGGTGAGTACATCATAACCGCTAATTTTGTTACATTTTTGTTTTAGTTACCAGGGAAAGTGTTTGTGTAGTGTAAGTGTTTCTGAATTATTTTATAGCAAAACCTGTACACGAATCAAGAAAAAGTTGACATGGTTAAAGCCTAGTTTTTATCACAACAAAATGACGCCGTTGCAATAAGACATTAGATGAATTATCCCGACCAACAAGTATGGAATAAGAAAATGTTTGTAAGATTGGTTTAACATTTAAAAGAATTTGGTAACTTTGAACTCCAGTACATTAATATTGGATGAAAACACACTCAGAGGGTGAGGAACATTAACCGAAAATTTTAAACGCTCTGGAAGAGGATATTCCAGTATGAGTACTGGAAGATTAGCCACAGGATTTCAAGTATATCATATGCTGTAAAAATCAGGTGAGTAAACAGATTATTTAAATACTTATTTTTGTATATTTAATTTATCATTATTTATTTATTAACTGGTTGAGTTTTCTGTTAGATTGCTTGTTACGTACTGTTTCATAATTTATCTTATTTAAAATAATTAAATTTTCATTTATGTGGGATAATACATGGCGAATACTCATCAAGTAACGCGCCAAAGAACAGTACTTCAGGACGGGTGATGTAGAAAAGTAATGTTTACTAAAATTTGCTTTTTAATAAGCTTTTGTTTAAATTATGAGGTTTTACAACATGCATACCGTAGTTCCCAAATGTGTATGCGCTACGAGTAACGCGCGTCCTATTGAAGTGACGCTAGCTTGTCCAGTGGCAAGATATGAAAATTACTAAAATAAAGGTTAAACTAATTCAGTTTCCTCGACGGAATTTGAGAAAACAAGCTGATGATACATGTTTATAGCCTCCATATAAATATGACCACCTTTCAAAGTTTCACCCTTATTTTTCACCCTCTATTAATTTAAGCTTAATTGTCCCTCCTCAGTTAGACATATTTGAAATAGCAAAAACTCCCAGTTGTTAAAATTCTCAATGTTAAATTTTTAAATCCTCAGCAAAGAGAAATTTTCTATTTTGAATAATTTTTGTAATAATATACCAAACGGGTAACAGATTAAATCCAGGGAACATCTTATTCAGCAGCAACTAGTTTAGATTACGCCGTAATAAAGTCGATATTTTAAATAAATTTTAAAGAACTGTGGTAGATTACACAGCCCCACAAAAAAAAAGTATCGGATCTGGTATTCAGACCCGAGTATTTCTATGTATTTTTTTCCGCTGAATCCGAATCTGCCTTCAGATTTGGCCAAACGGGTCTGAGTTTTCGGGAAAATTAAAAAAACAGGTTAAAATTCACAAAAAACGTCATTTACGATCGACGAAAGTTATAAAATGTTAAATTATTCTACCAGCTCCCTAGACGTATGATTTTTCACTCGTTTAATTCCAATTTATCATCGTAGAGTCAGACAAACTGGTCCAATTTCATTCAAAACAAGAAAATATATCAAAATGCTTAAAAGCGCCATTTTCATGGCATAATTCGTGTTGCAGAGTTCTGGTTCCATCTTTTTATCCACCCACCCATTTATGAATTCATGCATCTTTCTAACATCCATCTGTACCGCCTATAAAACCTACCAATCTATCCATGTACTTTTTGTGCTGAGAGATGAGATAACAGCCTAGAAGATTGAGAATGCAATAAAACTTGTAGAATACTCTACTTTCTAAACAAAAGAAAACGATATCTACAAATCATTCTTATTTTTGTTGCTATAACGTGTTCTCTTTTCTTCAAAGGATCTGTGCAAGGGGTTACGCTTTCGTTTAATCCCTGTATTTTTCGTTTCTCTTTTTAAGAACCAACATAAATCGGCCATCATGTTGTGATCCCATCTTCCTTGACATCGCTATTCTACAGGGTGGTCCGAATTTTATGCAGGAAACTTCGAGGGTAAATAGATCTCTTTTAAATAACATAAACAAATATTCTTGTAATACTATCGTTCGAAGTGTCTTCCACAAGGGGATTGTATTGGTATGAATAACTTGAGAACGGCGACTCTTAGAGAAAAAATTAAAGTTACCTTTTTTACGTATTTTGTGCATTAAAATATAAATCAGTTACAATGACATGTAAAAAATGCAGTGGCGTAGGTTTTTTTGTAAAAAAGTGACCCCTGTCCAGTTGTACACCACTGGTTGAACCTTTAAAGCTCATATTTCAGTGAATATAAGGCCTACTATCATACATTATATGTACCAAATTTTATTGAGATCGGTTAATAGATTCCGGAGATATAAACAAAAAATAAATTTTTTTTGACAACTTCAACGTATCTCTAAAACGGTGCCGTTCCAGACCTATGTTTATAAGGCAAACACATATTAATTTAAAGAGATCTATCTGGCCTCGAAGTTTCCTGCATAAAATTCGGACCACCCTGTATAACCTTCATATCCTGATGAGATCGTTCGCCTTGTTCTTCGCTATAATCTCTACGATTTTCAGGAAACCAATCCAGATTTGAATGAAGGAAGTGCAACTTGTAGTCCATCAAACATCCCAAGTCTTGGAAGTCTTTTATCAGTTTTAATACAATTTCTTCGTATTTAGGACTTTTGTTGTTTCCTAAAAAATTTGTTGTTACAACTTTGAAACTAGTCCAAGCACTCTTCTCAACGCTACTCATTGTAGTGAAAAATGTTGCATCCTTGAACAATGTCCGAATCTAAAGTCCATCGAATACACCTCCTTCCAATTTCGCCTCAGAAATATTCGGAAATTTTCGCCCTTTGTATATGTAGGGCGAAAACTTGTTGGTTGTTAAAAAGAGAAAAGAAAAATAAAACGAATACACGAAAACGTAACCCTTTGCATAGATCTTTTGAAGAAAAGAGAATACGTTATAGCAACAAAAATAAGAATTATTTATAGATATCGTTTTCTTTTGTTTAGAAAGTAGAGTATTCTACAAGTCTTATTACATTCTCAATATTCTAGGCTGTTATCTCATCTTTCAGCACAAAAACTATATGGATGGGTGGGTTTTATAGGTGGTACAGGTGGATTAATAAATATGTGTATTCATATGCATAAATAACTGGATAGAAAGATGTAACACGAATATGCCATGAAAATGGCGTTTTTAAGCATTTTGATCTATTTTCTGTGTTTGAATGAAATTGGACCAGCTTGTCTGACTCTATGATGATAAACTGCAACTAAACGAGTGAAAAATCGTACGTCTAGTGAGCTGGTAGAATAATTTGATTTTTTATAACTTTCGTCGATCGTAAATGACGTTTTCTGTAAATTTTAACCTATTTTTTGAATTTTCCCGAAAACTCAGACCCGTTGGGCCAAATCTGAAGGCAGATTCGGATTCAGCGGAAAAAATACATGGAAATACATGGGTCTGAATAACAGATCCGATACTTTTTTTTTGGGGGGCTGTGTTATCGGTTAATCTAAATAATGGACAAACCCAAGAAAGAAGTGCACAAAGAAAAATTCTAACCCAGAATGAAGTGCATATGTTTTGGGTTATTTCAAATCAAATCAAAATTTCAAATTAAAAATTAAAATAAAATCGTTTTATTCAGGTGATCCATATGTAGACTGAAATTTATTACATTATACAAACTTACCTGCCTAATCCAGTTTGCGGCCAACATGAGATGATAATCATGTATCCAAATTAAGGGGATGTCCGTCGTCGATTTTGGTAAAGACTTCAACGCTTTCATGGTGCACTCTGCGAATTCCTTGTTTGCTCTTACATAGGACTTCCAATGCTCACCCTTAAAGGTGGCTCTGTCAGGCATCGAATGGAACAAGGGCCAGAAGGTAGCGTTGCAGCATCCATTGTAGTACGAGTCGAAAATCGCTGGATCGATCTGTACTGCTACTACCTGAAATGAAAATACCAGTATTACTTTTTTTTTACAAAACAATTTATCATTAGATGTAGTAATAATGTACTCGTATAACAGCAAATTATTGTTTGCCATGTAGTCTTCTGAGTTGATTCTTTTAATTCAATTATTTAATATATGTACAGGGTGATTCATTAACAAAGGGAAAATCGAAATCTGAAGATACTACACGTAAAATGGTGACCATTGGCACAAATATGTCTTATCCGAAAGTTGATAGTTTCGGAAATCGAGCGTGTTGAAAGTTAAAATTTTAAATCGTTTTTTTGCGATTCTTCTGAAAATATGTAGGTTAGGAACTTGAAAATTTGTGAAACTATATTTTTTTAAGCGACGAATAAGATGCGTGTTGCAAATTCAGCGTTGGTCATAGAGGGCGCCACTTACGACCAATTTTACCGAAAATTTAGTTAATAAGTTTTTACCCTGTATGTCTAACATGAAACTTGGTTCAAAACCTGAAAGAGCAATCATTTTTCCATTAATTATGTACTCTTGTTTCATTTCGGTATCTCGATGCGTTTTCGGGAAAAATAGATTTAACGAACACTATGTTTTGATAATACGAGAAAGTAATAGCGAAACAAAATGTTTCTTCATGTTATTACAACAATTAACAATAAAATAAATGAAATACCTACATAATAATGATTTCAAGTAATTGTTCGAAGAATCCACCGTTGATAATAATACACTTTACACAACGTTTTCTGAGAGATCTTCGAGTTTGAAACAACATATTGGGATTGCGTCTGACTTCGTTGGCAGCGATTTGTATTCTTTGACACAGGTCTTCATACGAACCAATAATTATTTGTAAAGGATATCTTTCATTCGAGGCCAAATAGAAAAATCAAGAGGATGAAGTCTGGTCTTCTAGGTGGCCAAGCAAAAATGCTTCCACGGCTTGAAGAAGTTATACTTTATTTAAAAAGAGACATGTGGTTCATGCACGACGAAACTCCACCGTATTTTTCTCGGCCAGTGCGTGCATATTTAAATGTAGTTTTTCCAAATCGCTGGATTGGTCATGTAAGCATTTTTGCTTGTCCACTCAGAAGTCCGGACTTCAATCCTCTTGATTTTTCTTTTTGGTCTTGAATGAAAGATATAGTTTATAAAAAATCTATTGGTTCGTGTGAAGATTTGTACCAAAAGAATACGAATCGCTGCCAACGAAGTCAGACGCAATCCCAATATGTTGTTTCAAACCTGAAGATATCTCAGAAAACGTTGTGTAAAGTGTAGTCAACGGTGGATTCTTCGAACAATTATTACTTTAAATCATTATTACGTAATTCATTTGTTTTATCATTAATTGTTGCAATAACATGAAGAAACACTTAGTTTGTTTCCCTTTTAATTTCTCGTATCAAAACATTGTGTTCGTTAAATCGATTTTTCTCGAAAACGGATCGAGATACCGAAATGAAACAAGAGTACATAATTAATGGAAAAATTATCGCTCTTTCAGATTTTGGATCAAGTTTCATATTAGACATACAGTGTAAAAAATTATTAACTAAATTTTCGGTAAAATTGGTCGTAAGTGGCGCCCTCTATGACCAACGCTGAAATAGCAACACGCATTTTATGCGTCGCTTAAAAAAATATAGTTTCACAAATTTTCAAGTTCTTAACATACATAGTTTCAGAATAATCGCAAAAAAACGATTTAAAATTTTTACTTTCAACACCCTGTATTTCCGAAACTATCAACTTTCGGATAAGACATATTTGTGCCAGTGTTCACCATTTTACGAGTAGCTTTCGATTTTCCCTTTGTTAATGAATCACTCTGTATATGTAATTAAGTAGTCAGCGATGTGTTAAAAATTATGAATTTTGTTGATATTTGTTTTTTATTAATATCATATAGTTAAAAAGCCCATTTATAATGAATGAATAAACGCTGAGCTGAACAGATGTCTGTAATCTTGTAGTCCAAAAGTTTTGATAGGAGTGAAGCAAGTTTTTCTTGATTCAAAGCTTTTGTATATTTTACAACAAAATATTATTATCTTAATTGGATTATGAACGTTGTTTGAATATAATTATGTTAAATACCACTGAGAGTTAAAAACAAATCAAGATATATTGTTGATGTTTAAATACCAGAGAATGCTATTTATTATGTCTAGTTTCATTGAATATAGAACATGATGTGTATAGGATAGAGTGAATAAATTAAAACTGCATTTTTGTCTTTAAATCTGATTATCAAACGATGCTAATACAACTAGAATCTAATACAGACCATGTGTTCTATTTCTGTATGACATCCAGTTCGCGTGTGCTTATTTTTTTACTATAACGATTATTTGATTATACGGTTATTAACTGATTTAAAATTAATTAATTTTGTATTCTTGCTAATATACTTTTCTAAAATATAATCTGCTTTTGTAATTACTCTGATGGTCCAAAATCTTTGCAGTTTTCTATGATGTTCCGTTTTTAAGTGTTATTCAACCAAAATGCAACTAGTTTTTCTCAACCTTCAATAACTTTTGTGTTGTTTTAACCATTTAGAAGTATGTTCTGTATAGCACCATTAATAATTCAAATAAGATATTTTGCAAATAACATTATAGTTGCAAATTGTAGGTGATTAATGTTAAGAGATTATATTTAGCATTTCTAAAGTTTGAAAATGGCTTAAAGGGAGAATTAAATTATTTACAATTCGTAGTTTTTTTATTTCATTAATTGCTGATTAGGTCTTTCAATAGAACCATCATATGTATCTGAAAAATACCTATATGTTTGAGATGACAATATTAAAAAATATTACAAACATCAAATTACTTCCTGGAAACTTATCATTGCTTTTATGTAGAACTCTATTTTTCATGTTAATTACTATACAGGGTGTCCCGAATTAATGCAACAAAATTTGGTCACAGATTCTTAAGACAACATTCTTAAGTATTTTTTATTTTTGCCAAATGGCCCCTTTTTTCCGAGTTACAGCCCCTTGAAATCCGCCCCTAAGAATAATCTTTTTTTATATCACAGAACACTGTTGTACGAGAATAACTAAATTTGGTACACAGGGGTTTCGAGATATGTGGAATCTGATGGCGTTAGGCTTTTTGGCGGGGAACCCCCTTAAGACAATTTTTCGTAGTTCCCCTTGTTTTGGAGCCAAAAAAATTTGGCCGCATATTTAAATTTCTCATAAATTATTAGTCCGCTAGAAAGCCATTAAATTTAGAAAATTCCTTTTCTCTTGATACTTTTTTCGAGAAAAATGTCAAAATGTGATTGAATGCTTGTCGTGATTCGACAATTTCCTCAAAAAAACAATATCGAGAGACAAAAACGTGTATTTTTTTCTTTAGTTTTGTTGCTAACTAATAATTTAAAGAGATAATTTTTAGTTCCAAAGACACGAAAAAATGTCTTAAGGGGGTTCCCCGGCAAAAAGTCTAGCACTATCAGATGACATATGTCATAAAATCCCTTTGTACAAAATTTAGTGATTCTCTTACAACAGGGCTCTGAGATATAAAAAATACTATTCTTAGGGGCAGATTTCATGGGGCTGTAACACCGAAAGAGGGGGCCACTTGGCAAAAATAAAAAATACGGGTCCCCTAAATTTGTCTTAAGAATCTATGATCAAATTTTGTTGTATTAATTTCCGTACACCCTGTACTATACATTACTTTCAAATTCTATTTTAAGCTGTATGTACACTCGACGCAAGATAAAGGTTTCCAACCTGAATCGTATTTTGTTTGAAATGTGATGGCTTAACCGCTTGTCTATATGGGGCGTTCCCATTGAACTCGTGTGGCAATATTTTACCGTCACATCTGACATTCTACAAGTTTTGTACAAAAATGCTTTCCTGGTGGTAGATTGGCATTTTTAAAAAGGGACTAATTGGCAAACTCTTTTAGCAGACCCCGTATAAATTTTTTATTATCTTGTTTCTATTAAAAGAGTTGCATTTACATAACAATAGAAAAATCGATTCATACCAGTTAATAAATCTTGCGAAACGTCTACTACCTACTTACGAATAGTTAGATTGAATGGATTCAAGAAAATTAAAAATTTTATTTTTTTTTAATTTTGAAAACCCTGCATCTCGGAAACGGCGGCCTTAAGAGCCTACGTGTGTGTAACAATATTTACTTAATTTTAGCCACAGAATGGGGCTCTGTTTTTTTTTTCTGTACGCCACACTGTATAGGTGCCCGCAATGAAATCAGTTGAAGTTTCCTATAAAAGTTGTAAAGCATACGATTCTACATAAAAATGGCCTTTTGACTTTTTCTTGTACTATTAAAATTAACAAAGTTAGGGAGGCTGGAAGTTAAGGGAAGATTTCAGAAATTTAAAAAAACAAAGCAGAAAAATGAATGAATTATGTATTTTTTTTCAATCTACTCTAAAAAATGTAACTTTTCTTTTCAGAGAAATATATATAATTTTTTTTCTATACTATTCGATTGATTATTTAAAATAATGAAAAGTTGCCTTCGATTTTTTTTTACGTTTTTTTTTTTAGACAGATACAAATTTATTTACCTTTTCATATTTTGAATTTTATTTAGCTCCTACGACACTACCAGGACAAAGATAAAAAATCACGTTCGCTTTGTCGCACTCATGGTACCGAAGTATGCTTATGACAAAGATAGATTATTTCTTTCGCTATTGTCAATGCGCGTGCGTCAGTAAACGTGTGTTTCTTTAAATTATTGTATGCTCAATATCCATTGTTAATTTCAAAAAGGTAAATACATAATAATAAGAACTAATATTTTTTCTTTTAGCCTAAAACATATTTAAACGGATGCAAACTAACCCTCATGTTCCCCCCAAAAATAATATTTCCGTGATAACTCGGGTTCTAATCAGTATTTTGGAATGAAACAAAATGGAAATTTCTTCTTATAAAAAAACATTTATGGGCTTATGTAATGCGTCAGTTGAATAGAGATACGCTCTGCGAACATATA